TACAATAATGTACAGTATTTGAAAAATAATGTGTTTTTGAACATTAAAGCATGTCAACATATTCTTTTACACCAAATAATGATCTTTAAAAAAGCATCATATGACCCCTTTAATGTCCTCTCACTACATCTAAAACAGGGTGTCCACAGAGAAGGGTTCAATCATTCATATGCAATAAAATTGATAAAAATGTTTTTTTTTTAATGATGAAAGAGAGCTTGTTGCAACACTTAATAATATCTCCTATCAAAGCAAGGTTGTTTTTTAATGACACATGCATGTTTAATACGCTTTTTGTCAACACCGTCAGTCATTCAATAAAATGTAATAAAATCAGGGAATATCAGGGGCAGCCGTCACTCTAAAGGACCCCCGTGCCACAGTTCACCTCTGCAGAGGACATCAGTGTCAGACAGGCTCTGCTAAGTTTTATAGTTTTAGTATATTTTAAATCCTAATGTTAATATTTCCTGTGTCACAGCCATATGTCAACACCATCTTCCAATTTCTGAGGAAATTATTTGAAATATTTAGATCATTTTATTCTTCTGAAGCAGGTTCCATTAGCATCTAGCATCAACAGAAAAAATTAATAAAAGAAAATGGCTACTACATGAACTCCATTAGTTTTGTGAAAGAAATGCCAAATTTGTCAACACCGTCAGATGTCACCACCATAAGATTTTGTGTTCCAGTGATATATCAAAATACTTCAATGTGACTCTTGAATAAAAGCTTTATAAACAATAACACTCACTGTTTGTTTTAATACAGTAATTGACGGATTCAATGTATTTGATAGTTAACCTGAATTTGCAGTCATTTTTTCGTCAACTGTCAGTTGTATATTTTGATAATATTTCATTATGATATGTTATATTTGTTGTGGAATTGTTGGTCGGATGTGAAAGTGTAATCTGTCTGCTAACACGAGAATGCGTTTTGAAATGTTAAAAACATCTTGAATGCTGTTAAAGATAAAGTTGAAATATTACACAGTCCAAGCTAAAAAAAAAAAAAGCACACTTTGTTAAAAAAAAGAGAAAAGTTGGGAGGTTGTATCAAAGCATAGCTCAGTACATACAAGATACATAAATGTAATTTCATTTGTCTGAGTACAAGGTTTAATTTTTCAATTTTGCACCCTGTTTTGTCCCACTTCTCAACATTAAACGAAACAGAGAAAATAAAGGAGGATGCAAGTGCATTAACATTTAAAGAAGCCAAATGAGTGCATTAACATTTCTTCATTCAATGTCATCTGAAATTTTAGGTATTCAAAATGTGTTTCTCACAAACCTTACTGAACTGAATAGTGACACAGAAGCAGAATATGTAGCATTTATTAGCATTTCACAAAGCCAAGTAACTTAACAGACTAAGAGCTTTGTGCTATAAATAATATAACATTAATATTGCACAGATTTTTATTCTCAAAACAATCGAATCATTTGATCGTCAGTGTTGTGCCCCTCTGGCACTGCTAACAGCTGTTGGGTGGAACTTGCAATGCTGAGCAAAGCAACATTAGCCCGTCAGCTGCCAAAACACTACCGCGCACCTCCAAGCAAGAATTATTTAACTTCCTAATTAAGGTGTTTACTGTAATCAGCAGCTTGTAAGTCGGGTTACCCACCTGAAAGGTTTTGTAATCAGACTCACAAGAGGGGTGAGGATTTTCTGCTTTTCTTTTTTCATTAGTCCTTCGATGTCTGGTAACTGCAAAACAAAGACATTTCTTTAAAAGTACAGCAAGTAGAATGGATGTCGTTGCCTGATGTTGAATTAGCTGACCTGATCCCGAGGGCAAGCGAATGCGATCCTTCCAAAAGCAGTTCCATGATCCACAGCGCCTCCAATGTCCTGTAACTCCAGCTTACACTACAAAAGCACACCACTTAATAACAAACAACAGTACTGTAAAATATATTAAAGCTATTTAAAACAACCATGTTCTATTTGAATATATTTTAACATGTAATTTATTCCTGTGATGCAAAGCTGAATTTTTAACAGCTATTACCAATGTTGAAAACCACGTAATAATTGGGTTTGATTCTTTGATGAATTGAGTAGATTCAACAGAGCAACATTTATTTGAAATAGAAATCTTTTTTTAACAATGTGAAAGTCTTTCCTGCCACTTTTGATCAATTTGATATAAAATAAAAGTAATTTTCTTTCAGAAAAAATGTAAAAACCTTACTAATCCCAAACTTTCTAATAGTAATGCATATATACACTTGTATAAATTAATTTAATTCCAAAAAGGGCCTGATATACATTATATAAAAAGATGATAACCAAACTATTTCATGAGGTCTTGCTTATCCTAGCACGTCCTCATAATTTAATTATTGCCAAAAATATAATAAATGGATTATTTTCAGCCAAACCTGATTATCTGAGAATCCCATTAAGGCAATCTTTTTGTCCTCATTTTTCTCAATAACCTTCATTCCCAGCAGAGCAGACCAATAATGAATAGAACACTGTAGATCAGACACTGCCAGGGAGACTTTCTGGACAGGATCTATTACCAGGACCAGAAACAATCAGTTAGGAGTCAGTAAACAACGGCACACTTAACTAATACAGTTACCACATATATTTACTTCCATATTTCATAAAGGAAGTTCTCACATCCCTATTATAACACACATTTAGTATAAATACCCACCACAGTCTGGCTGTTCCTTGTCTATAAGGTAGAAGCAGTATCCTTCTGGAGCTTCAGTCAAGTAGAGAGAATCTTCGACTTGTGTTAGAGGCCAGTTTAACCTCTTGGCATTACTCACAGCCTGACTAGACAGCAGAGTGAGACCCTAATATTGAAGAGCACAGGGAACCACAGCTTTATACAGTGGGGGCCAAAAGTCTAAAACTGCTTGTGAAAATGGTTCACATGATCAGTGTCAAAAATGTATTTACATTTCATTAGTGGCCTAGAAATAGTGTAGAATCTGACATTTTACATCATAACTTTTCATGGTGTCATATTTGTTCCAAAATCGTTATTATATGCATAACATATATATACATTTTATATAACATATTATAATAAATACGGTCTCATATGTTCAGATCCTACTTTAAGTGTGGTTTCAAGTCAGAAGTGTTTCATATAAATCTAATTTACCAGAAAGTCATTGCCAAGGCGATATTCACCCACTCCATAATTATAGGTCAACTCTGCAACAAAGTGGTCATCTTCTGGTCCAAAGCCCACCATGGTTTTACTCCATTTTCCATCATATGGACTGAAAGCAAAAGAACAGGTTATATCGGTAAGCTAATATTTAGAATTTGATACAGGTTATACATGTAACTGAAAGCAAAGCTAGTCAAATAAAAAATAAAACCATTAAAATATGACGAACCCATTGCAGGTTGCTTTGCAGCCCTCCTCAAATTCTTCATGACGCAGAATCTAGATTAGAGATATTTGTTATTGTTTATAAATGTAGTTTTTGAGTCGGAACATAAACAGACGGAAAATATGCGACGTGCCACCCTGTATTTGGTAGCAGCATCATTAACTGTCTTATCAACTATATTAGGAGGCAAAGTTCCCACTGTATTTACATAATCGAGCTAGAATTGTACAATAAGGTCAACATGCAGCTCTTTTACCTTCATTCCTAAGACATCCCTGTAAAAAGTAGCTGTTTTGGTCCTGTCTCCTACTTTAAAAACAAAATGCAGTGCTCTTCTTAGTGCCATCACTTCTGGAAGTCTCCCACTGTAAACGCGTTGATCACACACTCTGTTAATACACACACACACCTTGCGAGCTACTGCTCTGCCATCGACAGCCCACAGACTAAACCAAAAAACAAAACACATTTTTTTTTAATTTCTACGTGCATTTGCAATGCTGTTGCTTTGCAGCCCTCCTCAAATTCTTCATGACGCAGAATCTAGATTAGAGATATTTGTTATTGTTTATAAATGTAGTTTTTGAGTCGGAACATAAACAGACGGAAAATATGCGACGTGCCACCCTGTATTTGGTAGCAGCATCATTAACTGTCTTATCAACTATATTAGGAGGCAAAGTTCCCACTGTATTTACATAATCGAGCTAGAATTGTACAATAAGGTCAACATGCAGCTCTTTTACCTTCATTCCTAAGACATCCCTGTAAAAAGTAGCTGTTTTGGTCCTGTCTCCTACTTTAAAAACAAAATGCAGTGCTCTTCTTAGTGCCATCACTTCTGGAAGTCTCCCACTGTAAACGCGTTGATCACACACTCTGTTAATACACACACACACACCTTGCGAGCTACTGCTCTGCCATCGACAGCCCACAGACTAAACCAAAAAACAAAACAAATTTTTTTTTTATTTCTACGTGCATTTGCAATGTCATTATATAAGAGGGCATATTATGTCATTAAGTTTAATTTACTGTAATGCTAAATAACATGTTACAACATGTTAAATTGAATATTAATAACACATTTCTTGGTAAATTCTTACATGGTACACTCCGTTCTAGTGCTGGGGCACTGAGTCAACCACGCGAATCGGTTCCTTTGAACAGTTCGTTCCAAATAATTGATTCAAATAAAGGTTTTTAAAGGGTTAGTTCACCCAAAAATGAAAATGAGCCCATTAATTGCTCACCCTCAAGGCATCCTAGGTGTATATGACCTTCTTCTTTCAGACGAATCCAATCGGAGTTAAATAAAAAATGGTCTTTGATCTTTCAAGCTGTTTAATGGCAGTCAGCTGATGAATGTTGCAGTTCATCAGTCCAAAAGAAGTGAAATAAAGTGCATCCATCCATAATAGAAAGTGTTGCAAATGCCTCCTGTAGCGAATCGATGTGTTTTTGTAAAGAAAAAATATCTATATTCAAAATGTAATAATCACTTTAAT